CCCCAGCACGACCACTCCCCAGCACGACCACCTCCCAGCACGCCCCAGCACGACCACCCCCCAGCACGACCACCCCCCCAGCACGACCACCCCCCAGCACGACCCCCCCCAGCACGACCACACCCCAGCACGACCACCCCCAGCACGACCACACCCCAGCACGACCACACCCCAGCACGACCACACCCAGTCGCACCCCCGTGGAATGTTTCGTGGGGTGTCTCGTGGAATGTTTCGGGGTGTCTCGTGGAATGTTTCGTGGGGTGTCTCGTGGAATGTTTCGCGGGGTGTCTCGTGGAACGTTTCGCGAGGTGTCTCGTGGAATGTTTCGCGAGGTGTCTCGTGGGATGTTTCGCGGGGTGTCTCGTGGGATGTTTTGTGAGATGTCGCCCAGTTGGGTATCGTGAAAACGTGACCATGCTGCGCATGTCTATATCCCTTTCCGGGTTCGTGGGTCCATCATGTTGTTGCCCCCTGGGGCCGTTTTCGGGCCCTGGAAGTGTCAGAAACGGATTTGGGATGCAAAACTGCACCAGATGGACCCCGGGAGGGGTCCGGGGACAGCGGATTCGGCTTCATCCCCCTTTTCTGGCGGATTTTCGGGGGTCTCAACCTTTGTGGGCCCCGGAAACGGCAGGGCCGTTTTTCCCGGAAAGGGCGCGGGCCCAGGGTTCTCTTTTAGCCGTTTACCCCCGGATCTGACGGGTCAAGCGCCGGCGAAATTATTTGCGATAAATAACGAGGTAAAGTGCTGATTTTCCCGGAAAGGGCTCGAGCCCAGGGTTCTCTTTTACTAGGTAAACCTGTCCCCCGGTGCCTGCTTGAAGGAGGCCGGCGAATTTTTTCCCTGATAAATAACGAGCCGGCGAATTGCCGGCGAATTTTTTCCCTGATAAATAACGAGCCGGCGAATTGCCGGCGAATTTTTTCCATGATAAATAACGAGCCGGCGAATTAAAATTTGAGGATGTCTTGAGCGAAACGCTAGATTTCCCAGCACGGCCCCACCCCAGCAAGACCACACCCCAGCACGACCACACGCCAGCACGACCTCGACCACCCCCCAGCACGACCACCCCCCAGAGCCCAGGTTCTCATTTTTAGGTTGGTAAACTATCCCCCGTGCCTGCTTGAAGAGGCCGGCGAATTTTTCCCTGATCTTTTTTTGTACGATTTCCTGGAATTTTGGCAGGATGTCTCGAGCGAAATGCACGACCCCACCCTAGCACGACCATACCCCCAGCACGACCACACCCCAGCACGACCAGACCCCAGCACGACCCCACCCCAGCACGACCCCACCCCAGCACGACCATACCCCAGCACGACCACACCCCAGCACGACCCGACCCCAGCACGACCCAACCCCAGCAAGACCACACCCCAGCACGACCACACCCCAGCACGACCTCACCACAGCACGACCACACCCCAGCACGACCACGCCCCAGCACGACCACGCCCCAGCACGACCCCGCCCCAGCACGACCCTATCCCAGCAAGACCACACCCCAGCACGACCACACCCCAGCACGACCTCACCACAGCACGACCACACCCCAGCACGACCACGCCCCAGCACGACCATGCCCCAGCACGATCACGCCCCAGCACGACCACCCCCCAGCACGACCACCACCCCAGCACGACCACAC